ATTATATGTGCACCTCACCCTTGTAACCAGAGCACTACTTTTTCACATTTCAGTAGGCATATAGAGTGAAGTCACTGCCAAAAGTGAAATTTCACCCATGCTGTCCTGACCCATTTGTTATTTTTACTCTAATCCCTGCATAAATCAGTAATAGTTTGCTAGGCACCAAGAAAGACTCAAAATAATTTTAAAGCTGTCCAGTTTTATAAGAAAGTGATACATACTTACAGTGAACTTCATTTTGATGGTAGGCGAGGCAAGATCTGCTGGTAATTGATGTGTACTCTTACTTTTTATACAGTAATACCCCAAAGTTAAATCTTAAAATGCGTTTACCTTATTGGCAAATGTCCTGTGTTCACAGAACCGTGACGGATTTCTTGGAAGTGCTCTGATAAGAGGAGGCTTTGATACCAGCATAATTGAATTCATTACATAAAGGAAGATGAAAAAACTTGTCGTGGTATGTTCAATGTATTTTATAGTAACTTTTACATGAAAAAAGTCAGAACTATAGATGCCTAATAAAACTTGTAGTGACGCTTTGTGCCTATGTGGTTAAGGACTCGGCCTAATATTTTATCCATAGCTGATACCATCTTTTTAAATCAACGGAGATGGTAATCTTGCTATGTTAAAAATGTTAAGTCGGTCCCTAAAAATCATGAGGCTGTTTCTAAATCAAGGGATTACTGAGTTCTGTTAACCTTCCTTTCTGAGCTCATTCAGTTAGAATCTGCTTTCCAGTCTTCAGGCATGGCCCATACATTTTCAGAGAGCCTCTTCAGAAAAGCAGTAACTGATTATGGACTAAGGGCTAATTCTAGAAAGGGACCATAAACTGGAAATAACAAAAAATGAGTAAGGGAGGAACACTAACAACAGGCATTTTATGTCAACTATTATTTAGAAATACTTTAATATTTCTCTGAATTTGATAATTATATACAGAGCCATGGCATAAGAACTTATTTGTTTGTTGCAGAAACTTTGCAAAATGTTTAGGTTTTTAATTCGCCAGTATAAATGTCCAACTCTCTTTGATCAGGAATATTGTCCATTTCTGTTTATTAAACAGAGATATGTCTCAGATAATGTGGATTTGTTTCTTAGCTGTACCTATTAAAGAAGATGCACTTTCAGAGGTGCTCATTTACATACTCCAAAAATGCTGCTTATTTAACAGCAGCTCTGTAAGTCCCTCTGTATACTAATTGTGCACTTAAGTTTCCTTTTTGTTGCCAGAATGGCATGATGGCAGCTCTGTCATTATAAATTGTCTCTGAACAGAGTTCTCCACTGTCCTCAATTGCTGAGGATCGTTGTTGCGGCTGTTACTGGAAAAGCCAGGGAGTCTTACTTGAGTTGAAAAGGTGAGACCCAGTTCTCACTTAGACCAGGCAGGGCCGTGCGCTGTCATTCTGCTACTAACCGATGCCTTGCTTGGACTACGTGAGCGCAGAGGAGGTGTAGCAGTCTGCCAGCACTGAGTGGAGAGCTGTTTTTCATCTATTTTGGCACCCACTTTGCAATTTGCCGGAGTTGTAAAATATGGTGAGTGAAAGTAACAAATTACTAAGGGAAAAGATTTACAGTTCTTCTAATCGGACTGATTTGTGGATGCCAAATGGAGACACGTATGTCCTTAGCCTCCAAGATACACATAGAATTCTTATTTTGTTTGTCACAATCCTCTCACAGTCTCTGGAAATTTAATTGACTAGTTCTCAAGAAAGGCATTGAGAAACTGAATGTATAATGCTAATCCCTGCGGTATCATTAGCAATGAGTTGGAAAGCAGTTTTGTCCTTTTCTTCCAACAACCGTAGCCAACTTGGCCATTACAGTAATGCGTCATGCTTGGAAGCCTGACTCTCCAGGTCTTCCATCAACTTCTGATTGCTTGAGTAGTTTGTATGGCAAACATGCACAGCTACAGCACTTGACATTAAGAATAGCTTATGAAAGTGATTACAATAGTAGAAGCCAGGAAAAAAGGCAGGGAGGGGTGCTTTTACTGTATAAGACCCTGTTCTTTTTCCAATACAAGCTTGTCTCTCACTTTTAAAGCTGTGCTCAATGCATTCTGTTTCCATACTAAATTCTTGTACCACTGTGCAGCAAGCTCCCAAGGCTAAGAGCCATTCCAGTTTTAACCCTTTTCTCAGTGTGTCATTTTGTGCACACATTTTCACACGTTTTTCTATGCCTTACTGTTTGGTAAGAATAAAGCTGCCAAAATTGTTTCTGCATTTGTCCTGGAAGCCTAATTTATTTTTAACTATGGAATGTGATCAGTTCTGCTTGACCTGTCCCTGTGCCACACGGATTTTTCTAGACTGTGTCACCCCATCTTTACCTAATGTGTGGCATGCCCAGCCAAAGGCAAATGCAAGCATAGAGAATTTTGTTGATTTTATTTTTTTTTGAGGTGTTACTTCATTCTTTACTTTTCTCCCACTACCTGCTCACTCCCTGATAAAGTAAATATTTATGAAAAGTACCTGGAAGCAAGACCCCATGAGTCACCAGGAGAGTTTATGGTGATAGCATAATCTCACCTTAACCTGACTGAATCCATCTCCCTTATGTGTTAAAATCCCTATTTGGTAATCAGGCAGGAACTGAAATTGTGCAATTATTCTTTTAATTTGTTCAAGGTTCTTTTGTTTAAATGATTTTTAGTGCAAGACAGTGCCAAATAATAGGTCGAATTCTTCTGCCAATTTTACTTATGTAGATTAAGAGTAACTTTGTAGCTTGATCGTGTTTCATCAGGATAAATTAGAATGTATTTGAAAATATTTGGCCTTACGAAAAGAAGAGAAATTAAGTTTTCTGTGACAAGTGTTGCTGTGTTGTAACAACATATTACTTCTTATGAACATTACTCAAATTCTACTTTTTCCTGGCTTCCTTGATAGGACCAACATGACTACAAGCATAACAGTTGAGTAAAACTTGATTTTATTGGGGGAAAAGTTTGAGAGTCTTCACTTCGATAAAAGTATCAAAAGCAAGAAGACTACTTTGAGAATGTGGGCATCCTGGTGAAATTTCATGGTCACGAAGGGGTTCTGAGCCACAGCTTCCTAAGCGAAACCTCACTCTCCCTGAGGACTGGCAAAAGTGAAATTAGAGTGGGTTATAGCCCTTCTTGCGCAGCTCTTTACTTCAGTTACTTAATATAGAAGGGTGCTTAGAGGATTCTGGTGTAGTCATGGGTAGTCTTGCCTCTGAAGGCGTACTTTCCTATTGGAAGTACGGCTAGGCTTTGCCTGAGAAAACTAGGGGTATGTTCTCTCTTGCAATAATCTTAATTAGTCAAATGCTTTTTAGAAATAAATCTTTGATTTGTGGTCTTGTCTGATTGGATCAGCAAAATTCAGTCAGTCCAATGTAAGGTGAAAATCATGAGATTGTAGCTATGGTTGTAATCCTCCTTCACTAAATAACCGTTGATTGTGTGTTGCTCTGCTCTTAGCTGTGCCTAAGCATGTCGATGCTTAAGAAAGCACAAGCTCCTGCTTCTTGGGTATTTTTCAAAAGTAGTGAGCACGTGAAGACATAATGACTAATAGAAAGTTAATTTAAGTTTTAGTTTAAAAGCATTTAAAATTTAGTAAAGCTTTTTGTTTCATCTTGTGGTGCCTGAATGCTTCTGCTGTGAAAGGCTTATTTGACTGCTGAAATCTACTCTGAGTTTCTGACATATCTGTAATCTTAGAAACAAAGGATCTTTTGAGATGAAGGGGCAGAGTCAGCTTTCAAGAGGAGGGTAACATCAATCTAATCTAATAAATCTAATCCGACTATGCTTGTCACAATTCAATATCTGTTTATATGTGTTCTGATATATTAGCAGTAAAGCTTTGTTACACTTGAGATAACAGTTTCCGTATAGAGTCAGGTGGAATAAAGCAAATGTGTGCAATTTCCATTTTTCACTGACGCCTGTTTGCAGAGAGATTTCCATACAATCTCTTTCACCTTTCTTCCAATGACTAAGATTACAGAAATGTGTTGGCTCTTAGGCTGAGTTCTTGTTTTATTAGAAGGGAACAGGCCTCAGCTATGACTTTCTAGTAGAAAGTAGTGTGATTTGTCAAGGTTCTGGCACTGGCTGACCTGGAGTCACAGATGAGGAGTCGTCCAGGTGAGGTTGTAGTCATAGGAGAAGGCTTCTCATGGCAATACCATGTGGTCATTGACACTTTCATAAAATACAGAAAACAGTGGTAGCTTTAAAGGAGGAATCCCCATCCCGTTCCTTTTGTGACCTTGTGCGAATCACACGTCCTCTGAAGTTTCATGTCACTCCTTTGTATGCTGAGGAGGCTAGAGGTTACCCAGATCGTCTTGTGAAGCACAGTTGTTATTCCTAATTACATCTGTAACTTCAATGCATGTTCTAGATACATCATGGTAACTGATGAAAAATGAGTGGCACTTCTTGTTAAGCGTTCATACATACATGAGATGGAAGAAATGGCTGAAGAATTGGTCTGTTCAGTGGCTGGCATGTAGGTTATGGTGACGTAGATATTCCTTTCCAGGATTTGTCTGCGGACTATCAGGTGGTTAGGGGTTATTTTTTAGAAGACAAAATGCAGTTTGTATGAATGAGTAGCAGAGTTATTCCTGATGTCATTTAACAGGATATTGTCCAGAATTAAATATTTAAAAACCAGAACTAGCAAGAGTGGGAACTCCTCTAAAGTTCAAACAAGTAAATAATAGCCATTTGTAGAGTGATTGATTTTACACAAGCTGACTTACTGAGTGCTTTTAACATATTGGGGTCAGGTTATCTGTGTCAACCCAAAATTGAGATATGAGGTTTACCACAGTGTGGTATGTAGATACGGGCTTGTTTGAGTCATGAAGAAAAGCTCTGTCAAGTGTTTCTCACACGTCCAGCAAGATATAAAAGGTGACGGTCCCTGGGATTTTCTTGCATTCTTACTTTCTGCAGCCTATTGATCTTACCTGAAAGAAAAATGAACGGATTTGTGAGTATATCCATTTTTGTTGAAGTTATATTATGAAAAGTTCTTTATTTTTAGAAACAAAAGCATAGAGAAGATGACACTCAAGTGGTACAGTACTGGGACTAATATGATCTGTGTATTGCTTCTTTGGGTTGTCCAGGGGGAAACTTGTGTTTCCTGAGTGTACAATAATCCCCTTGGAGTCAGTGGGAGCATCATTTGAGCAGAGTGCAGAACTTGACTACAATTCAGAAGGAGGATTTAGTTATGATTTTAATAATTACAGTTGTAGAGGCACATCAAGTAGTAACATGGCATCAAGGAAGGACTTTTGAAAAATATAAAGTGTAGTGGTTATCATTCTACCTTTTCAATTACAGGCAAAAAAGAGCCTAGTAGCAAGAATTTTACAATGAAGAATTGTAATTGTTCTCAACTAATACATGTTAAGTGGGTAACTCTTCAAACTGATGCTACAGCTGTTCCCCTCAGTTCACAAACTGAGGGTTTTTTTATGGCACTGCCTGGTGTTTCTATTGAGTAAGAATGCTTATTCCTTTCACAGGCTGCAGTGTTCATTTTGCTGGGAGTCTTTTGGACTCAGACTTCTGCATTGGATGTAAGTAGACTGATAAGCTGCCTAGTGCATGTATTTTTTTTTAAATGTACTGGATCCCTGGGCAGGGGGTGGATATAATAGGAAGAAAAGCACAGAAGAAACTAACAAGATGCTTATTGCCAAGTGAGAGGAAAAACAGCATTTGCCAAAGGTGAAAATCATATGATCCAAAGAGGCAGTTCTGTGCAGGTGCACAATAACAAGAAACAGGGGGGGCAGGCACAGGACCCCTTAGCTCAAGCTATAATTTGGAGACTTGCAGTCTCCTGTCATTCCCTGCTGCCACACATAGGCTGGGATGCCCCATGATGTTTTTCCTTAGCCTGCAGTGATGACCTGTCCCCTCCTTTCTCACCCTGATGCACTCTTGCATAATTAATCTCCATCTCAAGGGCCTCCTGAGACCACTAGAGGGTTGTTTAGGGATTTAGTATTTACGTAAAGCAATTAAACTTCTTTATTTGAGAGAGCGCACTTGTTTATGTTGTACCTTTTAAAGGTGCAAGACAGATGATGAACGATGATTTTGTGTTTTTTATTTTTTACCATAGACCTATCTCCTGCATAACCCTGTCAATGGCTATGTCACTGGAACTATGACTATCCACAATGAGGAAAACATTGTTGAAGTCCATGTCCGTTCTGGCAGGTACTCCTCTGATACCATTTTCGACTACTCACGTGTAAGTAAATCTAAGAATCTGCCTAGACTTAATCTCTGAAGATGTTTTTAAACTCGGAAATTATTTTAGTGTATTCTCGTAATTAGTTGTCCTGAGACACTGTTTCTTTGAAGACTCATCACCTTTCTTCCTGTTAGGCTGTCTCTGTTTCACCCCTATGATGGTGCAGTTTAAAAGACTTGTAATGAAAGCTCTGGTGGCAGTTCATGGAAGTGAGAAGAATGTCACTGACCTCAATGAGGTCAGAGCCGAGGATGGGCTGCCATTGCTTATGTATAGCAAGTGCAGCAGAAGTTTGTCAGAAAAGATACTTCCAGTCTTATGGACAGATGTTAGTGTAGGCAGGCTGCTTCCATTCCCCGAAGATGACAATATAAATGCAAAGTTGTTTCACAATAGTAGCCTCTGTAGCCACTTTGTGTTTCATCCAGATTGTCTTAAAGAGCAGAAAGAATCAACTAATATTAGTGGTAGCCATTTTTAATTAATTAACCATAATTTTTTTTAATCACAGGGCTATGTTGCAACAAGGTTATTTTCAAGAAACGCCTGCTTTATCATGAAAATAAGTCAGGAATCCATCCCAGACCTGCAAGAAATCGGACGCCTGGCTTTTGAAAAAGAGGTGACTTTAGTGAAACCTGTACTGTATATGAGAGAAAGGCTACTGTATAAGAGTTGTGTGGTGTGATGGACGCCCTTCATTCTGCCTTTAAGAACAGCTGTCCTTAGGAATGTCTTTTACTTTGTTCGCAATGATGAAGCAGAACTGAGAAGATAGGACTTCAAGGGAATATAATATAGAACATTCTTTTAAGATAATGATCGATCATGCCCCCCTGCACCCTGTGACTTTTATAGTGGATTGCCATTGTGACTAGAACTGTAACATCCCTTGTCCTTGGAATTAATGTAATTTGACTATTTCGAGGTGATTGCAATATGAGTTCAGACACTTTTCATTTCGGTTCCTTTTTTCATTGTCATGCTGATATTTTGAGCTTGGCATAACTTGAAATCATTTTGTTTGCAGAACAGAATTTAGAAATCAACTTACTTTGACCAGATTTTGACTTTTCCTATTCAAGCAAAGGCTTCATGAAGGTGACTGAAAGTATTGCCTGGAGATGAACTTGAGTTCTGGCCCATTTTATGACAGCCTAACAGTAGCACGTTTACAGCAAAACTTACTGCCAATTAATATAACTTATGATAGTAATACAGCTCAACTTTGCTATGTTGGCAGAATTCATACCTAGCGAACTTTTGTTTCTGAATAGATTGAAAATATTTATTTTCCTTTAAAAGTGTGTAGCTTCTTTAGCTAAAGCTTTGTGAGGCAGAGGAAAGTGATTTTAGATTTTGGGATTTTCTTAAAGGGTGTCCTAGGAGAATGAAACCAAAGCTACTTCACTGATCATGTCTAACACTTTCTTTTTAGACTATGAAGAAAATATACTCTCCAAATAATGTGTGGGTACAGTTTCAATCTGGCCATTCCATCTTTGGGCATCTCAAAGACTGGCTTATCTACGGTAAAGCCATTGAACAACTCTGTGCAGATCTGCCTCTCTACCGCCTTGAGAAGACTGAAAGTACGTTACAAGATCAGAACTTTATGCCTTTCTTACAGTGCATAAGCACTTTTCTGTCCTTTAAACCTAAGTCTCTGTGGTACCTTTAAGACGGGAACATATCACTGTTTTAGAGAGGAGTAACCTACCTAGCAGGATCAAAAGGGTAATGCTCTGAGATACTTTGAAAAAACCTGATAAAGCACTGCTTTTTGTTAGGTATCTAAATATCTGGAACAGCTGTTCCGAAGTGGTTTACCTGGTGTCGGAAGCCACTGTGTAGCAGCTGTAGCCAGCTTATGCCCCAATCATAGAGGTTCCCACAAGGCACCTACTGTATGCCAGTATGCTGCCTGCTGTATGCAGGTTATGGGCACAGAGGAGCACAAGGGTGATTCAAAGCTGTATAGACATTTCCTCCCTTTGAGTTACACCGTAAAAGTTGTACACAGCATCCATTGAGACCAACAAGAGCCTCAAACAGGAATCCCTATTAAAATAGGGGATTGAAATTTGTGTATTTAGGAGACTTTTCCTTGCTGGATACACAGGGATCTTGTCACTGATAACATCTTCATTTTCCTCTTTCTTCTAGCAGAAATAGATGGCTGTGCCGATGCAGGAATTCCAGGCATTTTGGGCATGAAAATCTGTGAGAAAACCTATTAGTGTGGATCTTGACAATTCTGCTGCATGGAAACGGCTTGTTTCTTTGCATGCTTTTGTGATGGTAGCCATGTTCTCCAACTGGAACAAAACTGATATTAGACTCAACTTGCCTATCCAAAGCTTTCAGTGTAACAAATGAATGATAAATAAAGATAATGCAGTAATTAATATGCTTTGTCTTTTTTCTTCATCTAAAACCAGAATGGAAATAAAGTGAGCCTTGCTAGTTTTCCTACAGAAGAGATGCACTTACCTTTGGTGCATTCCTATGCTCAGGCTGCAACATGACCATGGCATTGGTATATGTTTCATGCCACTGAAGAAACAGTAACAAATAGTTTTTTCCAGTGGAGAACTTCCCTTTGGTATCAGCACCCAGCCTCTTCAGGTGCTGACTCACCTTACCTACAATTGCTGGAGAGAGAGCAGATGTTACCAACATGAGCAAAGAAGCTTGAATTCGACAGTGCCAGTGAAAACTTGTAGCAATTTGCATAGGTGCAATGGGTCAGAGCTTTTTGTTCTGGCCATTTTTCAAAACCCAGATAGAGGAGACTGACCCAGTCCTAAAAAGTTTGTAACCCGGAATATAATTATCCTTTCACACAATACCAGTGTAAAAAGAGCTGTGACCACTTGCTGAGTGCCCTGCATGTGTTGGAGAGTAGCTTGTGTCAGGAGCTGATTAAAATACAAGCATTGGTGCTGCCTGCCTGATCTTCTGGTAGAACTCTATGAATGGTTGAATTCACACATCCTTTCCGTCAGTGCTTGGAAAGCAATGTGTATTTTGGGGGGCTGAGGACTAAATTGCTTACTGTTTGTTGGAGCTGTGAATAGCTGCCAGAGGCCAAGGCATTCCTTTGGAGGAAACTGGCCCCAGGCCTGCAATTCGTTATTTTTGAAATCAGACTCCTGGTCAAACCATCTGCTCTTTATTAAAAGAGCATTTTATCATATGGTGAGACTGTTCTTTTAGATTAATTGTTTTTACAATAGGCTGCAGGTTCTCGGTGATCCAAAGAATGTTTCTGGAGAGTCAAACTTTGGTAATTAAATCCAGGAATACTTGTGTGTGCCTGCAAGATACAGGATAGCCTGCTTAGTTGTATTTTGAAGTGGAGCTCACTCATGGGAAGTGAAACTAGGAGTTGTAGTTGTGATGTTCTAGGCTGATGCACAGGGACTGTGCAACACCTCAAAGCACTCTGAGAGCACTGCTTGGCGAAAGTACTCATGTGGGTTGTAACTTTAAAAGCTTTTGTAGTTGCAGTACCCGGAGGCTGTTTCAGGACCTTCAAAACTCAGTCGGAAGCCTTAATCTAGTTTTCAGGTGACAACTGTCATGTTTCAACCCTTTCCCTGTGTATTCTTCTGTTAGAGGGCATGGAATTCATGACAAACCCCTGCCCTGAGTCAGCCAAGCTCTTAAAAAATACAGAAAATAACTGGTTTAATTGTCTCAGGCTTTATGTATCTTTGGATTATTTCTTTAGGGATGGCTGACCTGACATCAACTATCCAGTGAAAGTTTAGAGATGAGAGATTGAAGTAGATCTCAAAGGAACAAACGGGTAGAGCTTCCAGAGAGGCAGACTAGATGTATGAACAAAGCTCTGTCTTATTATTCTAAGATTATTATTGAATTCAAAGTTATTTAAAATTGGTGCAATCTGGTTTTCTGTCTAATTGCAGTATAGATTAATTGAACCTTTAATATGTGTACAGTGTGATAATGGTCCTTTGAGACTCATCCTGTTGCTACTAGTTTAGTCAATTACTTTAAAGCAACCCTCTGCATACTACATTCACTTATTAATGGAATGGTGTTCTGAGACATGAGTGAGATCTGAATAAAAAACCTGAGTGCTTATGCATGGTTGTAAAAGATGCAGGGCTAAAGTCTTCCATTGACCCAGGGATAAAGAGCATTACTCATGTGAAGAGGGTCCTATTCTCCTCTTGCGTAATTGCTTACAGATCATGAGGGCTGTTCTGAATGGACAAAATAAGGGATGCATTGCTGCCTTGATACTATCAGTGGGAAACTGAAGCACAATCTACTCTATGTGGTTTGACTGCTATTGTGGAAATTGTCTGACTGAGGCAGGAACTCAATCCAGCTCTTCAGTCTTCACCAATGGCTTAAACTCCCTTTCTCTAGTTTGACAGAATTTCATTTAAATTATAAGAGTATTTGAGATCTAATACCTTTTCTTTAGGAAGTATTGCATATACATCTAAAAGCTTACCAAAAAAGTTTGTGTTTACTGTCTACTAATTTTGAAGGTGGTGTTACAAGCTCAGTAGATTTGCACTCAATACTAGAGCAAATAGTTCAAAGAACTCTGAAACAAGCCTCAATACCTCGTTATCAACCATTTAATTTTGGTTGAGCTGCAGAGGTAGTATTTCTGCCCTTTATGTACTCAAATGGAAGATTATTTCTAGCTTTTATTTTTGTTCACAGTCTTATTGATCAGTCAGATCTGTTAGCAATTGTTGTGGTTTAACCCTTAACTCTAGCTGGCAGCTAAGCCCCATGCAGCTGCTTGCTCATGGATAGAGGAGAGAATTGGAAGGGCAAAAGTGAGAACTCATGGGTTGAGATAAAGACAGTTTAACAGGTAAATCAAAAGCCGTGTGTGCAAGCAAAGCAAAACAAGGAATTCATTCCTCACTTCCATGGGCAGGCAGGTGTTCAGCTGTCTCTAGGAAAGCAGGGCTCCATCATGCGTAATAGTTACTTGGGCAGACAAACACCAACACTCCAAATGTGTACTCCCCTTCCTTTTTCTTCCTCCAGCTCTACATGCTGAGCGTGATGTCATATGGTATGGAGTATCCCTGTCCTGGCTGTGCCCCTTCCCAAATCCTCGTGCCCCCTCCAGCCTGCTTGCTGGTGGGGTGGGGCAAGAGGCAGAAAAGGCCTTGACTCTGTGTGAGTCCTGCTTAGCAATAATGAAAATGTTATTATAATGTATTTGCACTTGGGCTACTGTGTTTATTGTTTGATAAATAACGCTTCAGCTATCCATCTACTCTCACAGAACCTCCAATTGCCAAGGTGCACAGCTTTCAGGGAACTCTTCTGGATGGAGTGTCCTGGAGGCAAATCTGTTGTGATGTTGGTACCTTTTGGGGTACAGCTCACAACAAAGAAAAGGAAGAGCAGGAAGAATCATATACGACATGACCCATATGCCCATGTTCTCCTTCCACCTGTTTTTCAGAGGATGATGTTTTCACATGAGCACGGGGATGGGAATGTTACAGCTCTGAATTTACAGACCTTGAGCCTAGGCCTGTTGGTATCACCAACATATCATCGATTTCAAAGATCATGCTAGAAATGACTGCAGAGCAGAGGAAATTTATTCTGAATTTAGTAACTAACTACAGGACAAACAGGAATGTACAGCCAGCTCTGAACGAAAGCAGAGAAAAGGACTGACCTTCACAGGAGAAAAAATTTTGATATTTTATCTATTTGGTACTGTAGTTTGCCAGTGCTATTCCCTGCTATTTCATTCTTTGACTATGCCACAGTTTACTGTATGTTTTACATACTTGTCTTGGACTATAACTAATCTATATTTCTTATCTTGCAAGGTCATGGATATTATTACTGGGCTACAGGGAAAGACTAAGGAAGTAAAAAGCAGCAACAACAGGTAAAGTGTCCCTGAAAATACGGTGTCTCTGTTGCCTTAAATAACTGTAGCCTGAAAACGTTTTTAATATTTAAATCCACAGCCTGTCAGCAAAGGGTCTGGACTGAATGTTTGTGATCTGAAGGAAATGTATAGCTTGCATTTTGTTTATCACTTAAACATGTGTTGTGTGTAATACGAAGCATCTGCTGTCATAGAGCTCATTAGGTATCAGTAGCTTTGCGTTGTCTATTGGTAAGGATCTTTTTACACTGTTATCCATGAGATTTCCCACAGGAGTGGACGGAAAATTCCCACTGATTTCCACAGGAGGGACCCACAGGGGACTGCAGCCAGCAACTGTTCTCAGAAGCAATGGGAGAGAGATTTATGTTCACAGTCAACAAAGTAGAGTGCTTAATCTAATAACTGCCTAAGGTTAATGTGCAGAGCAGATAAGATGAGGCTTGTTAGCATTAACCTTGAAAATCGCACAGGCATCTGGTCTATCTGCATCAGGAGAGGGGCAGGGCTGTGGTGATCCTACCAGGATTGGAACCCAGATCTATCACAGAAATGAGGAAAGGAGTCAGTGCACAACCTTATATCATACAGACATATTGGCTGAAAGAATCTAGAGAGGAAGAGAGCATCAGGATGTGACTCTTATTATGTTGAAAGTTTCCTGGTCTTTCCAAGAGCTTCTCTCCATGCATGTTTTGGAAGTTTAGCAAGCTTCTCAGCTAGGCTTATTCTATAAAAGGTGGGGAATTTGTTTTATGAGGAGAAGAGCACATTGGGAGTGTGTCTGGGTGTGCCTGAGTGAGTATCTGTATGCGTTGGCAGCTTTTGTAAGTTAAAACAATATTTGTCCTAGACAGGGATATCAGAATAATACTGATTATTTACTCCCAGCTTTTTTAAAAAGCCTGAAAGGTGTTTAAAGACATGCCTGGAATCCAAGCAATGGTATCATTGGATGCACACTGACAGGCAGCTAAAATATGTCAGGCATTTGGGGAGGGCAAAATTAGCACACATTCCAGTCACATCTCCAACTCTGCTGCAATTAACCTTTCTTGATCCTTCTAGATATCAGTGGGCAGGAAGCCCCTGTGGTTCTTCATTGCCAAGGACAGAGATCTATCTGGTCACCTGTGCTGCACATTAATCAAAGATCTTTTTACCGTTGAACCCATTCCACTGAGAACCTCCCCAAAATTCCTAGCATACAAGACTGTCAAGGTATGATAGCTTTGCTAATTGTGATCACTTTAAAATCAGATATTAACCCAGAAACTCTTACCCTGATGAGTAATACCATTTAAATCAAAGAGACTGCTTAAA